TTCTGATGGCTGCTTGCTGGCTTGCCATTATGTTTTGGAAAATATATTACTAACTCTATTTGATGTTAATGTGTTATTGTAGATGTGTTTTGGCAATAGAAACCCACGGTTATAAACAGCAGGTAATCTTCCAATTATCCAGAAATTAAACATTCGTATACCACTTCTTATTAAAACAATTGTATCGTTAAGGCCCTGTCAGACGCAAAATGCGCTTACTAAAAACGTAGAACAAGACATCTAAAAAGACTTGGTTATTCATATTTTAGTATGTGTAACTTCAGTACTTTAACTAGATTCTGGTCGAACAGAATTTGGATTGGATGCAATTCGTATTAATTTTTAAATACAGTATGAAACAAAATCTGTACCTTATCTTAAAATAATTAAAAAGGTTACAAACTTTTTGTACGTAATAAATAATATTATACAAATACAAAAGTCAATTTGCAGTAAATAAATACATTTTGTTAATCATAAATAAAATACAAGTTATGTTAATGTAAAATCGTGTTCTGAAAGAAACAAAACAAATAATTTAATTTACGATGAAGTGATGATCTCAACAGTAATTCCCTCGATCAAATGTCGTTTCAAACGATTCTTAAATTATAATTTTAATAATATTGCCATACGAGGAAAACAAACAGGACATGATTACATAGACGAGTTAAATCGTGACTGAAAATAACAGATGCGCAATAAGTATACTGCGTATTGAAACTACTCTGTCATAAAACGTATCAATATAACCATCCCTGTCATTCCCTTTGATCAAACAGAGATAGCAATAGTGTTCGTGTACAAGTGTCTTATCAAATTTACTGAAAGCCTTAATAATATTGAAAACTACGTACAATTATATTCAATTCTTAAAAATTAGATAGAGGTTTGATTTAATAAGAAAAATAAGCCTACGTAATAGTTGCTAGATATTACCTGCGACTCCGTCTGCGTAAAATCGAAAGTTCTATCTACTTACAGTACAGTAGTGATAATTTCACTTGGCACGTGAATAACTAGCAAACTCTTCTGCCGGATGTGCCAACTCAAGATACCTGGTACTCTTTTGTGTTGTTTATTTAGCGATCCGACATTGTATAGGAGTACGTTCAATGACGCAATTGGTGAAAAGGTCAAATTAACGAGTTCTACGATTCATCTCTGACATTCCTATTACTTGCAAAACGTGCCAACTAACGCATCTTTGTTCATTCGTATCCAAATCAAGATAAAGCATTTTTAACATTACTTAAAGGACTTACCGTGGATTTCTGTTACCTATATGTTCCAGACTTTGTTCTACATGTGTGCCAAATTTCATCAAAATCGGTGGAAATTTCATCAAAACCTCTAAACAAATCTATCTAAACTTTCACATTTTTACTATTCGTAAAACTTAGTAGGATATATGTTTTGTTATAGATGAAAGAAAGACGGGGATGACGATATATTTTATAAAGATTTTAGTCTCAGAAACCAACAGTTAGTGCTGTAAAATTTGTTAATAATCAATCGTGGCTTCCATTAGCTTGCCAGTGAACGTACAAACTCTGAACTACTGATTTGGTTTTATAATTTTTTTAAAGTATTATTAGGAAGAAAATCCGAAAATGTGGCAGTGTATTGACCCAACACTAGCCTTACTAAAATGTCGACGTTTGTGTACTCACTATTCATTCTGACACTTGACTTTGTAATGTAAGCACGTCATTCAAGTAAGTCTAAAAGTATTTATAGTAAATTTCTTTATCAAAACAACATTTTTGACTAACATCTTATATCTTTAAAACGATATTTTTAATTCATTTAAAAATAAATTTATATAAAAATAAACTGCAAAAAGTATGTATGATATATAAAACCAGACTGGCCGATATATCCGGCAACGGTCATATACACTAGAAAAAAAAACGCTCGAAAGGTTAAATATCATATTACTGCGCGCATAAAATTACTTGATGCCTTTCTGTAATATATAAAAAAAATATAATTCTTCATTTTGATTGTATTTAATTAATTATATTGAAATTAATATTTTAATTTTTTCTGTCGTATTAAAAATTAAAAGAAAAAAAATGTTGACGAAGTCGACCTACGATTTCGTTACAATTGATCATGTTATATAGACTAACTAACCATCTAAAAAAATAGATTAATGGAGACGCTGTCTTATGAAAACACTAGCGGTCGCCCGCAACTCCGTCCGCGCGGAATAAAAAAAACATAATTAGTAATCTATGTGTTCTTCTAGTCTATATTTTATTTGTATGGCAAATTCCATCAAGATGCGTTCAGCTTTTTTGGAGATACCTTCAAATAAACATCCATCCGTCCATTCGTCTATCCAATAATCCATCCATTTGCATTTATTTGTATTCGTAAGATTTTATAATTGGAGTAGGCAGAGATATTTTGACTTTCATAAAGCACGGTCCAACATCCCTCAGGTTCTTCCACATTCATATATCTACGCATACATCACGTTCGGGTGCTCTTAATCTAGTAATTATTTTATAAAATAATCAAAAACATCTTTTCTTATTGTAGATGGCGTGCGACAAACTCTTGTTACTTGTAGCAGCGATAGCGCTGGTGAGTGCTGACGTATCCCATATTCTGGAAGATCCGAGCACGGAGCCTCCCCCACCTCTGCCCTACTCATTCTCGTATACGGCGGGCAGGTATCCTGGACATGCTGACAGACAACACTCCGAAGTCAGTGACGGCAGTGGAGTGGTTAAAGGTACGTTATAAAACTGAGCTGACTGTGGACCTAATTAAAGGGAACGTATTCGGTGTCATTACAAAACAATGATCAGTCTTAGTACGATCGTCAATTATTTCAAAACTAATGTGATGTTTTTAATGTACTTCATGTCCGATAGGGGCGCTGAACAAAATACAAATTTTGTCTATGACGATATAATTGCGAATGTCGTATTATAACAAACCACTAAAACATTCCAGGTTCCTTCTCCTACGTGGACCCTAGACAGAAGATCCGTACAGTGGACTACGTGGCGGATAGGGAAGGCTTCCACCCCGTGCTAAGCGACGTGCCTCCCGAACATCCCACCGACTCCGAGTCCGTGGCCCTAGCTAAGGACAGACACTTCCAACTATATGCTAGGATAGCTGAGGAACACGCACATCCTGAAAGTAAGTTAACTTAATCAAAGAACAATAAGTAAATCTACAAACATTTAGAAACTTCTAGACACTTTATTGGGACGTCAGACACTTTGGCGTCCCCATAAATTCCGTGCCTGGAACGTCAGGAACTTTTAAAAGTAAAGTAAGGACTAAAAATTCCAAAAAATAGTTTAATTTGGAAATGGGTTTCATAATAACTACTACGTTAAGTTTGTTTTACGAAATTACTCGTTTAATTCTTCAATACAATAACCAAGTAACAAAGTCTTATCAACATTTATCTTTCAAACAATAATGTAAACATAAAATAACCAAATGAACATCTTCTTACAGACATCGTACCCTCAGTCCCACGTCAAACGGAAGCAGTAGCAGCAGCAGCAGCAAAACACGCGCAGCTGTTCAGAGTGATAGCAGAACAACACGCACGCATCGCAGCAGAAAGAGAAGCTTTACAGAGGGAGGAAGAAGAAAGGCAGCACTTGCAGGAGTTGCAGGAAATCGGACACTAAAAGAAGGAACTCCAAAGAACGAACAGGCACTTAGACACACGATTACTGCTGATATAAAGATGTTTACCTTCTTAAAAACTGCTAAGAAGCCACCCAGAATATTAAGGGGTCAAGTAATAAATAGTTAAAGTTTTTGATTTATTCCCAGAATGAAAAAGTATGAAATTAATATATCATTTTCATTGTATTTCTAACAGAATTTACTTTTGTTGCTTAAAAAATATTTGAGACTTAAAATTGTTTTAAAAGCAAATGCAGAAACAATTTTAGATCAAAAAGTTTTTGTCAGCAAACACTGGAGAAACTTATTCTAAAAATATTGATTTTACAAAATCTTTTAGGCATTTACTTTATAATACCGAAGTAATAACACGCAGAGTTTATTAGTAGTCACATAAGCTACACTAAGGTTATATTTTAGTAAACGTAAAACAGATCTCGACTCTGCTGTGAAGGAGTTAAGTATGAAAATGATTTGACAATATGTCGGCAGTGATCGGAGTGTAATCATGACATTTAATTATTAAGCTGTGATCACAGAACATGGATATTGCCAAAAGTTATTTTACTGCATACAATCTCATATTAATTTAGTGTTTATATTGCATGTTCCCATTGTTTTTCCAATGCCATAATCATCATCACTAAACGTCCCCACTGAGGGGCTCGGAGCCTGCCTTAAATTAGAGGTGACGGCCATAGTCAACGTTGACCAAGTGCGAGTTGACTTCACACATATCTTTGAATTTCTTCTCATGTCAAAATACTCGTATAAAATATATTGCTATCCCTCTCATTTGCATTGAAAAAAGTGAGATGGCAATATATTTTTGTAAGTGACAGTGGAACCGAGCAAATGAGATGTCAATATAACATTTGATTTTGGTACAATTGCAATGATTTATAGTCTAAGAGCCAGTGGGAGATCAACCTTATTAAATATTATTAATAAATGTAGGAATGACAACTTGCTTATGGAAAAGTGTTGCTATTTTCGATTGAATTAATTGGAATATTTGAGCTTAATCTAAAATTGTTTTTAACGTAAAAAATGTACTTCAAAAAACATGTCTCATATCAAATAGGTGGAGGTCGACCTCCCACTGTCTCCTCTACTATTAGCAGTCAACATTTTCTTTTAAATTTTTATTATACTATAGAATTCGAGTTTTT